ACTGAGTTGGGCTAAACTGGGCTGGACTGGACTGGGCCGGGCTGGACTAAGTTGGACTGGGCTGGGCTGAGTTGGGCTGGATTCAGCTGGCCTGGACTGAGCTGGGCTGAGCTGGGCTGGGCTGGGCTAGGCTGGACTGAGCTGGACTGGGCTGGACTGAGCTGGACTGGGCTTGGCTGAGTTGGGCTGGACTGAGCTGGGCTGGACTGAGCTGGGCTGGGCTGGGCTTGGCTGAGTTGGGCTGGACTGAGTTGGGCTGAGCTGGGTTGAGCTGGACTGAGCTAGACTGAGCTGGGCTGGGCTGGGCTGGGCTGGGCTGGGTTGGGCTCCGGCTCGGATGGCCCCTACCTCCGGGGGGAGGGAGACTTTGTTGAACTTCATCATCTGGTACATGTACTCTGAGGGAAAGAGGGTGTCAATTGCCAGGCCCCAGCCTGAGGAGCTGAGGAGCGGTGCCCCTAACCTCTCCCCCTCCTGCCATCCTCACCGTCGTGGCCCCAGGACATGAGGACATTCTCCAGACCGCAGTGGGGCTGGTACATACCGAGCTCTGTGCTGCAGTGAGAGACTAGGGTCAGGAGCCAGGGGCACAGGAGTCCCTGGGGAGGGAGGGGTAGAGGTGGGGGGGCACCTGTATTGAGGGTCCTGGAGGTCAGGGTTGTCCTGGAAAGTGGAGTCGCAGAAAACCACAGAGGACTGGGGATGGCAGCCGACGGGGAAGGTGTCACCAACGACTGCCCACTGGGGACAGGCAGCATGGTGGGCACAGGCCTGGCTGTCCCAAGCCCAGCCAGGCCCCCCATCCAGGTCCCAGCCCTCACCTGGGGCTCCCCTGCCAGGGCCAGCACCTTCCCCAGGTCATGAAGCAGCCCAACCAGGTGAAACCAGTCTGGGAGGAGACAGACAGGGTAGGGCTCAGAGGGCAGTTGAGGCTTGGCTCCCCATCCCCTGCCCTGGTGGTAGCGGGGTATACCCTTGTCGGGGTGGGCCCTCCGGATGCCCTCTGCGGTCTGGAAGGCATGGAAGGAGTTGGGGAAGTCCACATCCGGGTCTGACTCATCTACCAGCTGGTCTAGCATGTTCACTGCCTCTAGGATGGTCATCTTCTTATACGTGAATTTCCCAAACTGGGCATGCTGGGCCGGAGAGGGGTGTCAGCTGGGCTGTAGGCAAGGCCCACCCGCGGGACCGCTGCCCAGCCGACCCCATTCAGAGAGTAGGGGTACTCTACTAGCATACCTTCGCCCTGACAAAGTCCACCGTCTGATGCGTGTGCATGAGCTTGTAGGTGGCAAAGACACGGTCCAGGAGGGGGCCAGACTGCAAAGCCATGGGTCAGCCCGGCTGCTTGGCTCCCAGAACCCTCACACCTAGGGCCCCACTGTCTCCCAATCTGGGCCCCGCAATGTGTGAGTGGGAGTGCCCCCAGGACCCAATGAATGGAGGGGAGGGGCTTCCCAGTGGCACCCCCTGGAGTTGTTCAGGGTGATCTGCCTGAGGGGGGGTGTGGGGGTGGCCGCCTGGGGTGGCTCACAGTATAGTTTCGGAAGCTGCTCTTGTCCTGGACTGGCTCTGGGTCCACATCAGGTCTGTAGACCAGGGAAGGGTCTGGGCCCTAGGGAGGGAGTTAACCCAGTTCACCCTCATACCAAGCCCATGAGGAAACGAGGGCATCCCCAGGGAGCCCTGATAAGCAGCCTGAGGCCCCAGGATTTGGCGGAGCACTGCTCACAGCCACCACCCACTAAGGCCCTCCGGGCTGAATCCTCTCTCCCCCACCCCCACGTCCTTATCTCTCCTCAGTGTCCTTATCTCCTGCTTGGAAGGATGCACTAGTCTGGGGAGATGCTGAGCCCCAGCCCCCAGGCCAGGCGCCTGCAGCTCAGGAAATCACAGCTGCCTGTGGAGAAGGCTGGGTCCTAGGGACCCTGGGGTTGGGTGCCGCTGACCCTTGCCCCAGCTAGACCAACAAAGGCGGGCCGGAGTCCTTTGACTGGCTGGATGGAATGGGACTGGCGGTAGGCAGCTGGGTGGGGACAGGGTGCTGCCCGCCACCTGAAGGATGGGTTGCCCAGAGTACTCACCACAGCCACCTTCATTCTGAGAGGAACCAGGGCACGAGTGGGCAAGAGCCCCCAGGCCGGGGGGCCTATATATGCTAATAGGTTACATAAGTGACCCGACACCACCCAGCCCCTTGGCCTTGGCCCTCGGTAATGAGTGACCATGCGACCTCCCGCCTGGTCTCAGCAAGTTAATGTGTCAGCTGAGGGTAATCCCCAGCAGCCTCAGTCCCTTGACTGACCCCGGGCTCCACCCTCCCTGAGCAACTGGCCTGGGGAAGCTTGTCCCATGCGTTCTGCAGCCGGCACTGAGCCCCTGCCCACCCCACTGGCCGTCCGTGTTTGAACTCCTACACCCGGGACAGCATGACCAGGTCCTACCTGAAGTCTCCCCTCCCCAGACCACAAAGGTCACCATGTGGGGTGATGGGTTGCTCTGCAGGGCCCTGCAGAGCTCTGACTTGGGGGCTTCCTCGGAGAGAAACATCCTGGTGGTGGTGGCGTGATCTGGCTCCTGCAGCAGCTGCACTGGGAAGAGATGATGAGGGGACCCCAGCTGCTCCATTCCAAATGGCTCCAGCTCCCACAGGTTCCCTCCCTGATGGCCACGGCTATAACTTGATGGCCCATATCGGCCTCCCCACCTGAAAGTCGGCTCAGTCCCAGGAGGGCAGGGAATGCTGCAGGCACATCCTGGTGTGTCTCCCCACTGCCTCAGGTGCTCTGCAAATATCTGTTGGAAGGATGGGGATGGGAACCCCAGGGAGAACTACAGTCATCTCAGAACACAGGGAGGGCTTGGGTGGGAGCAGGGGATCATGGCCAGAATCCGGGGATGTCTTCGAGGTTGGGTGGACAGGATTTGAATTGAGGGTATGAGCTGCGGGCCAGGCAGGTTCTGGAGGGGCCTTGTGGGAGCATCAGGTAGGCAGCCAGCACACAGTCTGGGTGTCAGCGGGTGGCCATGAGCTGCCCTGGGTGTGGGCCCAGTGGAGTCATGATGCTGTGACCTCAGTCAATGCACAGTGATGCTGCGAAGGTGACCACTGAGGCTCATCTAGGGCAGGATCCCTCCCAGGCGTGGAGGATGCAAGCTTACCACAAGGAGGGTGTTACCTGTGTGTGTGCACATATGTGTGCACACGTACGGGTGCATTTTGTGCATGTGTGCATGTGCCTGCACATGTGTGTACATGTGCATGTGTAGGTGGGAGGCATTCCTGGAAAAGGGAACAGTGTGTGCTGAGGGACAGACTAGACACAGGCCATGGGGCACTGGGCCCTCCCAGAAGAGGATGCGAGGCTGGACTTTACTCAGAGACCTGGGGAGCCCGGGAGGGTCTTGGCAGGGCTGAGCTGTGGACTTGCCCCAATTTACACCCTGCTCCTCCCGGATCCGTCCTCTCCCTCCCCGTCCACCACCTGTCCACACTGCCATGCTGGGGCAGGCTGTGTGTCTCCTCCCCTCGACTCCCAACCTCTACAGCACGAGTCCCTTCCCACCTCTTCCGACACCCTTCAGTGGCCACAGCACATGTGGCTCTGAGGCTTGGTCCCTGGCCTCTTCAGCCCAGACTCAGATGGGCTCCAGCATCTCACAGCTGCTTTTGGCTGCCAGACTACCCCAGCCACATGCCCCATGGGTTCAAGCCTTGGGGCTCTGGACTCCTTCCTCTGGTAAATCCCTGCTGTTCATCCAGCCCTACCTAGACCACTGCTTCCTCCAGGCAATCTTCCTTGATTGCTTTACCATGCTCCCACATCACAGCCCTGAGCACCCTCTGCTGCAATTCCTAGTCAGTGGCAGGTCCTGCTGGGCTCGAACGTGAGTCTCTGACCTCTCTCCGGCGGGGGTGAGAGTAGTGCCCATCTCACAAGGGCCTGTGCAGATGCAGCCTGGGTTCTCTGGGTAGTGTGGGGTGTCATCAGGGCAGACACAACACAAGGACTGTACACAGGCTGGCTGCGCCTGTTGTTCTAATTTGAGGCCCTTCTCTCCAGCCTTGGCAGGGATCAGAGGCGCAAACCTGTCCACGGCCCTGCTGTCCCCCTGCTGCCCCACTGAATCTCAAGGACCAGGGCCTGTGTTGTTTGCTCAGCCCCACTCTTGTTCAGCCACCTCAGCCCCCTATGGTGCTGGGAGATTTTTTATTCACTTTTTGGGGTGGTCCCCATCCTGGCCCAGTCTCACTCTGGGGACTGGGGAAGGCAGAGGCACAGTGAGGGAGGGGTCTCTGGGTGGAGGTGAAAGGGGGCCGCCAGATGAGTCACTGCCACCCTTACCAATGAGACCAAGCAGGAATGCCCCTGAGCCCTCGTTACCCTCACTAAGCCTCTACAGGAGAGGTGCACTGGAGCCCCTGGCTCTGCTCACCCTTTGGCCCAGGATGGCCACAATGGTTTCTGAGCCCCTGCCTGCCCCCGACTCCCACCCCCGCACCTGGACCATAGTGGCCCCCAAGTGGTCCACTCCTCTGCCCTTCAGCTCTTCCTGGAGGATGACATGGGAGAAGTGGGAAGCTGGAACTCCGGGAAGGATTTGCAAAGAAGGGTTTAAGAGCCAACAGCGGATCCCGGGGATGGAGGGACTGCATCTAGGCCACCCCTTTCTCCCCAGCCCTGGGTGTTCAGGACCCTGGTTTTTGTTACATCTGCCAAGATCTCACTCCTCCAAGGTACAGGGAGGGGAGCTCGCAGGTGCTGGGTCCCCCTGGCCCTCTGGGGGTGCACATGTGCCAGTGTGCAGGTCCTGGGGCAAGGCGTGCCTGGTGTCTGCACACACTTGGGTTTACAGTCCAGTGCCACGGTCAAGTGTACAGGAGGCTGGGGTGTGGGCGGATTCCTCTGGAGTCTGCCTCCCTTTCGGGGATCTGTAGGGGCTCTGTGGCGGGTTGCAGCATCGTGTGGGGTGGGCAGGCAGGGTGTGGCCAGCACAGCTCAGCCATAGCTGTGGGGGCTCCTGGGGTCTACCGGGACCAAGTCCCGCTGGCCAGCCTGCCCCACAAGCTGCCACAGGCGGTGGCTGAGGTTCTCCACCTGGCAGGTCCCCAGCATGCAGCCCACTCTCAGGAGCCGGGCTCCGGCTCTGCGGGGGCCTGGGTGGCGGCGGCCTGAGGGGCGGCGGTCTGTGGGATGGCCACTGGGGTGCTGCAGAGGTTGGCCCATGGCAGGGTCCAGGCTGGCGCCCTTCGGTGACTGGAGGGCCAGGTGAAGCTTCTCCACCACAGGCTGGGGGGTGGGGTGCCGGTGATGTGGGCCGCTGGAGGGGATCCGGGCCAGGGGTTCCCTACACAGAGTGGGAGTAAACAGTATGGTTCAGCCTTTCAGGTAGCCCAAACCTATCCACTTTCTCTTCCACGCAGGCCTGGGATATTGCCAGGGGAAGCCCGTGTTCCCCACCCACATCCAACCAGGGACAATGCCAGGGGAAGCCCACGGCCCCCCACACCCAGCCTGGGATCCTGCCAGGGGAAGCCCACGGTCTCCTTGGGGCTCAGGGCCTGGGTCCTGAGTGCTCAGCTGTCTCAGTGACCCAGACCACATGCCCCATTAACCTCTTCAGGGGAAAGGCACTTCTGGCCTCTGTGGGTGACTATGCTCAGGACTTGGGATGATGTCCCTGGTACCATCCCTTGGGGTGGTGGAAGCTAGGCAGGCCTGGGGTCCCCCCAGCCTCCCCTCCCCCAGTACACCCCTCGTTGAGAAGGGCAAGGGCCCTACCCAGCGAGCAAGGAGAGCAGGCAGCTCTGGTGTCACTGAGGCCTAGGGCTGCGCCCTTGGTAGAGGGTTTCCCCAGGTGCCCCTGCCCCCTGCGGCGACAGGGCCGGGGCTGGTCCAAGCCGCACTCACCTGGGTCGGGCGGGGCGCGGGCGCCCCCCCAGGCCGCGGGTCAGCGCGCCAGGCAGCTGCAGGTGCAGGAGGCTGATGCAACCGAAGGTGAGGGCCAGGAGCCGAGCCATGGTGGGTGGTGCCGGACGGGCAGAGGGGGCGGGCGCGGGGCACTGGACCCAGCCGAGCGCAGCCCTTATGCTGCTGTACCTGGGGAACCCTCCGCGGTCGGGGTGCCGGCTGGTGGAGCGCAGGGTGGGTCTTGCGGTCCCAGGGTCCTGTCCGTGAACCAGGCTGGGCGGAACCGAAGCCCTTCGGTGTGTCCCGGGGCGCGGAGAGGGACCCCGGGTCGGGGTCACTCGGCCAGTGGGCGGCCGGGGGTCTCGCGGGCGACGGTCCTCAGGCCTCCGGAGCTAAGTAGCCCTCTCCAGAAGGAGGCGGAGCCGGGCTCCCGACTGGGCGGGGCGTCCCCCTCCCCCCCACCCCCCGGGGATGGAGCTCTGGGCTAGGACCCGACGCCCCCACAGCCTGCTCCTCAAGTGGTACAGGCAGACACCCCTTCCCGGGGGAGCTCGGCCCTTCCCGGAGTCTGGCCAGGGCGCGGAGATGCGAGGGGATGGAACTGGGCTCTGAGCCTGCCACTCCATTCCCTGCGGTTCTTAGGTGCCGTCCAGTGGGCTGGGGCGCACACCGACCCTATGTCTCCAGAAGGAAACACTGCCCGGTCCTGCGCCATCGTTAGGGTCCTTGCTATATAGTCCATTCCGTGAGAGGCAACTGTCAGACCCCTCCTCAGCTTGCATAGCGGCTGTATTCTGAAAATCCCCACCTTTCCTCCCGTTTCCAAAGTATCCAGCGCATTTTGTAAGACATTCAAGTAGAAGGTGAGCAACGTTGTTCACGGCCCTGCTGTGGCTTCCTGCGTGTGTGTGCGTGTGTGACACTCACAAACCATGTATAAATCCAGAGACCCCCGTCCTCTAGGCTGGGCCTCTCCCACAGGTGGACGTGCTGTTAGCTACTTCGTGGAGCCTCTGTGAGTAGGCAGTTGGACAGCCCCCATTCTTTTCTCCAGCAAGACCCCCACTGTCTGCACTACCAGTACTGTTGTCTGTGTGCAAAACAGGGGTCCATCTACAGAACCCCCTTCTGGGGGTCTGAGTGGAGGCTGAGCACACGTCTTCTGTAACCACAGTGTTCCCCACAAAGCCTGGGCCAACTCACCCCCCACCAACAGTGCACTTGGCATTGTGGGTTCTGTGCTTTGTCAACCTGCAAGGTGACCGTGACCTTGTCCCCCCTTAATAGATAGCTGAGTATCTCAGCCTCTCTCTGTCTCCTTCTGTACCCTCTTCGGTCTCAGTCTGTCCCTCTGATGACCTGGGTGGGCTCGGGGTGACCTGGTCACTGCTAGTTCCCCCCTGCTTTCCTCCCGCAGGGCACATCTGTAAACATTTGCCGGGTGAATGAGTCAACGAGGCTGGGACATGTGCACTGAAGAGCTCTCCTCACCTCCTGGGACGGTGGGCAGTCATGGACATGTCCCGGGTTTCTGTTTCCTTCTGGTCATCAGTGCAGCGGGGGGGGGGGGGGGGGGGGGGAAGGAATGAAAGAAAGATGGGCCTGGCAGTCAGAAAGAAGCATGTGGCAGGGGGACAGCTTCATGGAGGCTGAGGAGGGGGTCAGGGAGACACTGAGCTCAAGCCACTGCTGGCTGGGCAGCACAGGAAGGCAGATGGAGTGAGCCACCAGTGCGGGTGGGGAGCTGGGCATCCCAAAGAGGCTGAGTTTCCCATGGGACTTGCAGCCAGAAGGGTCTGGTTGCCCCTCAGCCTCATGGGGACACAGAGAGGGCAGTCCTGGGACACAGCCTGGGGGTGCCCAGAGATGGCAGGGCTCAGAGGTAAGGGGTGTGGTCAGCATCACCCCCAGAGAGTGTCCCGAGAGGCCAGAGCCTGGTCTGCCAGCACCAGTGGGACAGGTAAGGGAAGGGTGGGCAGGGGACATTGCAGGCCTAGCAATTCTGCTGCAGCCTCCCTTTCCCCATACCCCACACCTCCCCTCGGTCTACTGCTACGAGCTCTGACTGTCTACTGCACAGATGTGGCTGTATTCTTCTCCCCTCCCAGGAGAAATGGAGGCATTGGTGGCCCGGTGGTGGGATCCTTGCCTTCGATGCCAGAGACCCTGGGCCAGATCCTGGCCAGGGTGCCTCATGAGCAGCCGTCACCTGTCAGTGGAAGCTTGCATGTTGCCACAATGAACAGGTTTCAGCAGAGCTTCCAGACTTAAGACAGACAAGCAAGAAAGGCCTGATGACCTACTCCGAAGACCCGCCCTGTGGACCACAGCAGTCTGACTCAGGTCTGAGCACAGAGCGGAGCAGGACTGGGCAGCGTTCTGCTGCACTCTGCACGGGGCTGCCGTGAGTCGGGCCAACCTCACAGCCTCTGACAACAACAAGCAATGAAGACACGAATGTTCTCATCCTCTGATCTGGGACAGTGAAGGTAAGCCTGTGGTCATGCATCTCCTATGTTTTCCTTCAGATCCCAGGCAGACAGGCCAGCACTGCCTTGGTGTCTCACAGCTTGTGTCCTCATGCCCTTTGTGCCTGCTGACTGGACTAGAGATCCCTCTGGGTCCACAGTGTAGTGAGTTACTTTCATATGGCCCTTCTAGCCATGACCTTTATAACTCTCACAAAATGATTGGGTGGTACTATGCAAGTAAGTTGCTTGTTGCTCCACCAAGAGGATTGGACAGCCTGCTAATAATGCAAATAAGGTGCATGGGACACTTGTGGGTGTGGACTAAACAAATAAGATGTACAGAACCCTAACGAGAGAACTGGTCAGTCTTGCCATCCGTCAGGCTTAAAGGGAGCCAATCCCAGAAGCAGAGAGGGGACCTCACTACTGTCAAAAAGAAGAGCCAGGAGTGCAGCATGTCCTTGGGACCTGGGGTCCCTGCACTGAGAACCCCCTAAATCCAAGAGACAGGCAGAGAGCTGTAACATCAGAGACTCTGAGAAGTGACAGTGGCAGAACCAGCAGAGCAGCATGAGGTGAGGCAGTGGCTTCCTGGCCCATGGAGACAGGGAGCTACAGTGGGCATGCCCACCCACTCAGAGCTAAGCACCTTCAGGCAGGAGGCTTGCTGGTGGAGTGGGGTGCCTTCTGGCACTTGTCAGAGGAGTTAAAAGCTTTGTAACACTTGGCCAAGTGGGGCAAAGGCCAGGCCTAGGGCTGAGCGGCCAAGAGATACGCCTGCCTGTGGGCATGGCTAAGAAGGTATCCTGATCAAAGAACTGTCTCCTGAGCGCTCTGTGATCCTGAATTGTAACTTGTTACTTCCCTAATAAAACCCATAACCGTAAGTACGGTCTGTGAGTTCTGTGTGACCACTGCTATGAATTATCAAATCCAGCAGAGAAGGAAGGAGCTCTAGTAGCGGAGTGCCTAAGGCACTTGACTGCTAACCAGAAGGCTGGTGGTTCAAACCCACCAGCCACTCCTCGGAAGGAAGGTTGGAGAATCTACTTCTGTAGTGATTCTGCCTCGGAAATCCAAGAAGGGGTCGCTATGAGTCGGGTCTGACTTGATGGCACATAACAATAACAACAGCAGAGAAGGAGAGAATGCTGTTGGAGGGATGGTTGGTGTCAGAATTGGTAAAAAGGTTGGAAGGTCGAGGCACATCTGACCTCCACCTCCTCAGAAACAGCCTCGGCTTAATGATGACCTTGGCTCTGTGTCCTCCCCTTTGTGAAACCAAGTCTAATGGCCACACAGCATTTTCACAAGGTCCCACAGCCCCCTGCATGACAGCTGCTCTGGGTGTGAAAGAAGGCCTGCAGGCAGTGTCTGGCTTCATTCGTCTTCAGAGAGAGGAGTGAGGGGTTGGCCAGCCAGAGCCCACTTACCTCCGGAAGCTGGCAGAGGACCCTGGGTGAGCCGAGAGTGGGCCATAGGAGGGCTGATGACTGGAGTACTTTAAGAGAAGTTTGTGCATGGACAGTTGGCAGACAGGTTGAGGGAGGTCTTGCATGCTTATGTTTTCCAGTGGAAGAGACTGAGTTGGCCATGGGTGAAAGGGTCCCATGGAGAAGGAGCGACTGAGTTGGGGCAGGAGGCAAGGATGCTGAGCAGTATAGGGTAGGGTAGGAAGCAGGGGGAGGGAAGGGGAAGGCTGGGGAGGGTGAGACAGGTCCTGCAGTAACAGGGGCAGGGGTGAGGAGAGGAGGTGGTTGGACATGAAGTTTCTGTGAGGGAGGGGTCAAACTCAGGGTGTGAGGAGGGCCGGGCAATGGAGGACATCCATCTGAGGCTGGGGTCACAGTGGGCCACTCTGCCCTCTGTGATGGGTGCAGGCCTGGGGGAGATGATGGTCAGGGTTGTGCAGAGCTAGGATTTGCCAGATGGGGACAGAGGAGAACAGTCAGAGTGGTAGGGGGCTTAGGACACTGGCCAGGTGTTGGCCAGGGAGGGTGAGGTGAGTGGGCTGAAAGGAAAGGAGAGCTCAGAGGTCAGAGGAAGCCAAGGGGCTGACCAATGGGCCTGAGGAAGTGTCACTTCCTGCCAGAGGAGAGGCGGCACTGGGAAAGCATGGTCTCCTGCGAAGGACAGGAAGCTTGGGGGCAGGAGGGGGTGCTCAAGGGCTGACATGACAATGCCAGGATAGAGACTCACAGGACTGTGGTCTGGAAGGGACCTCAAGAGAGGAGAGTGGGTCCCTTTAGGCCAAGGACACATGGGGTAGCAGTCCCCAAGGGACTCACTGAAGGGTGTGAGGGTGGGGAGAAGAGGGTGTGGGGTCCATACAATCCCTGGGAGGAGAGCCACCCCTGGGCCCAGGCAATTGTGCCCAAGACCTGCCCTGGGGATGCTGGGTCTACTTGCAGTCTCAATGGTATGGAAATGAGGCAGTGAGAACCTCGGGTGCAGGTGACAGAAAGCAACCCTATGCCAACCAGGAGGAAAAGGTTGTGGCTGGGTGACCTTGGGGCAGAGAGAGGAGCCTGGGGGTTCTCCCCATCAGCTCTCTCGGCTGGCTCCTTCCAGGGGACGGAGGCCTAGGTGCCAGCCGGGTCCCTTCATTCCTCCAACTCACTCTCCTCCTGGAGCCACGCTGCTTTCAAAGCATACCTAGCCCTGTCTCTCCACTGCTCTCCCAGTGTCCTGCCCCTGGCTCCCATTCAGGTGTTGGCCTTTGCTCACCCCTGGGCTACTATGAGGACGTTTTGGCCCAGCCCTGCTCTGGGAGAAGGGGCCCAGGCTGGGCATTCTTTTGGATGTACTTAAACCAAAAACCAAACTCACTGCCATCGAGTCGATGCCGACTCATAGCGACCCCCTTTGGTTTTCCGAGGTGGTAAATCTTGACAGAAGTAGATTGCCCAGTTTTCCTTCCGTGGAGTGGCTGGTGGGTTTGAACCACCATCCTTCTGGTTAGTAGTCATATGCATAGGCCCCGTGTCCTTGGACGTACTTACTGGGTGGTAAAGCATCTCCCACCTACTACGCGCACGCACAATGCAGGTCTCTCAGGCTCACGGCAGGCCCTCCTCTTTTAAAGGACATTTGTCACACATCTCCCCTGATTCACAAGGGGGCTCTGAGGTGGGGCCGGGCCCTTCGCCCTTCTCAGACTGGGAACCCCCGAAGGGCGGAACTTGGGTACTCTCCTCTCCCTTGTTCCCAGGCTGGAAGCCTCCGAGGCAACGCCCCGGGTCCCCTGTCTGTCCCCCACTTTGGAAGCCAGGTGGGCAGGGCCAGGGTCCTCCAGCCTCTGCCAGATCCCCAGTGTGGGAAGAGAGAGCCTGTAAGCCACCAAGGGCGGAGCCTGTGTGTGGGCCCGACTGCGAGACCGGCGCTGACCCTGCCCCGCGGCCCACCCGGCCAGCAGCTGACCCGGCCGAGCCGCCGTCCCTGTCACCCACTCGCGGGGCGGAGCACCGCTCTCGGGCACAGTCCCCGCGCCGGCTGGACCAGTGGGGGCGCGCCGCTTCCGGTCACGCCCACAAAGAGGGCGGAGCGCTGGTGCGCAGGCGCACCGCGCTCCCGGGCGGGCCGGCTGGCTGGGAAGATGGCGGCGGGAGTCCTGGCCGCCGCCGCCGGTGAGGCGGAGCGGATCCGGGGTGTCCGGGGTGCTCCGGCCAGGGCTGGGGCCGGGCCATGAGCGCGCTGCCCTCGCATACCCGAGCCGCGGAGCCCGCCCGCGTCCCTCGCAATGGCCCGGCTCGCGGACTACTTCGTGCTGGTGGCGTTCGGGCCGCACCCGCGCGGTGAGTGCCGGCCGCGGGCTGCGGCTGTCGGCGGCGCGGGGGCGTCACGGGGCGCTCCGGGCCCTTGCGCGCCGGGGTCGAGGAGGGGGGCGCTCCTCCGGGATGGGCGCGGGGCGACGTGACAGGACGGCACGGCGTCGGCCGGGGGGGTGGGAGGGCCCCGGCTGGGTCAGCCCCTGAGTCCCAGTCGGGTGGGCCGGACTCTCCGCCTTGGCGGGCTGCCGGGCGGCTCTGCCTCCAGGAGCGCGGGTCACTCGCCTGCAAGCCCCTCTTCTGACCCCTAGGGCTTCGGATCTGCGGCGTCGAAGCCTCAAGTGCAGGATGTCTTAGTTTTTCCAGGTCCGCTCCCAGGGGGCTGGGTGGGCTGTAGGAGAGGGTGGGTTCGGGGGCTCTTTCCTGTGGGCGCTGGCGCTGGAGCTGGAGTACTTTGGAAGGAGTCGGCAGGAGGAGAGAGGAGCATATCTGGCAGACGGCCTGGGCGCCCAGCCCCGGGTGGGGGTCTGGCAGGTGACTGGGGCTGGTGCCCGGGAGGTCCGGGCTCAGCGCCGGTGTCTGAGGGCCCTTCAGTCCAGGGGGTGGGAGATACCAAGAGCCAGCCGCGACATCAGCAGCAACCACCGAGACGTGGCATTGGCGTCGAGCGTGCCAGGCCCGGCACACGGCTCTCCGAGCATGATCCCAGCGCTTCCCTGATGCTGCGGCTGCCGGGAGGGGCAGAATCTTTGCCCGGGCTCAGCTCACACGGGGGGCTGGGATCCGCCCCGGCTGGTGGACTCACCCCTCGGCTCTGCCCCTGCACCCAATGTCTACCTGCTGAAACACACCATCTTGGGAGTGCACTCCCAGAGTCCTGCTCGGGGGGCCCCCATCACTCTCCTGCTCTGTGCACTTTCCCCCACAATGTTCTCGGAATGTCTGTCCCCGGAGTGTAAGTTCCCACAGGGGGGGACCCCTGCCCAGCACACACAGGGGGCTTGCCCTTGGCCCCAGAGGAGCACTGTTGGTGCCCAGCCCAGGTGGGGCACAGTGAGGAGGCTCTGCTGCCTGGGCCAGAGGGTCCAGGGGAGGCCAAGGGGTGCAGCCAGTGGGGGAGGGAGGGGGGCTTGGCCTAGGTGCCAGGGCAGCAGGGGTGGGTGTGCTCATAGCAGGCGATGCTGAGGGGGCCCAGTGGAGATGCTTGGTGTGGAGGGTTAAGGAAGGACAGGCAGTTCGTGATATTGCACTTGGAGCACCCCTGCATGTGAGGTCCCAGAGTAGGACAGTAGCGGGCTGGAGCCAGCAGGTGGGAAGGAATGATCTCCAAACAGTCCACAGCAATGGGGGCTGCAGAGCCCCTTCCCAGCACGCTCCAGGGTTGCAGTTGATGTCTTGCTACCCGGCACCCAGCCTCCTGGCATCCCTGGGAGGGATGGGCTGAAGGCAGGGACAGGTGGCTGGGTCCAGAAGGCACTAGAAGCAAAGGAGCATAGGTGGTCCGTGCTTTGCCACGTGTCTGCTCTCTGAACTTCAGTTTCCCTGTCTGGAGATGAGATGGGCTCTTGAGCTGCATGCCAAAGAGAGAAAACAGGAGAGTCATGGCACCAGGAGACCCTGCAGACACGGTGCTATGTCATGGCTTGATGTGCAGTGCCTCCTGTGGTGGGCAGTCAGCAGTACAAGGACACAGGTGTCCCTTGGTCTTGGGGGCTTGCCACTGGCCTGAATCTGGAGGTCCTGTCCTGTTGGAATTCCACCTGAGTGCATCTCGGCTGCCTGGGTTGAGTCTGGGAGGCATGTGAGGGTCTCTGTGTGCAGGTCACTGCCAGCTGGAGCTGTCTTGTTGAGCCAGGGCAGGTAGCGGCCCCACTTCTCTGTGATGCAGGGCTGGAGGTGCCCTTCCCAAGGCCTCCTGCTCCCTGCTGAGTGGGGTGCGGGCCAGTCCTGCACTTGGCAGATAATGGTCCAGCTCCTCTGGGCCATGGGCCCGGGAACACAGTGGAATCTTCCTGCCTAGGTTGTCTTCATGCACGTATTCAGTGTGCAGTATGTCCCTGAGGATGTCTCAGGAGATCCCCGCTTTGGCTGGGGAGGGAGGCTGAGGGACCCTCTTGGTGCTGACGGGCACCACCTCCCCACCCATCCATTCCGTGCTTTCTGCGATGAGCTGGGCCACATTCCTGGGCCTGTCTCCTGTCCCCACCCATGTGCCCGCCTGCCCGCCCCTGGAGCAGGTTAGGGCTGTTTGGGAAGTCATAGCTGGGTCCCTGCCCCCACCCACATTGCCCAGAGGGTGTGCAGCCTCGGGTCAGAGCTGCTCCGGTCTGCCTCTGGGACTGAGGGATCTTGAGGGGGTGGGGGAGGGTGACTGGGGTGACTACAGCCCCTCTGCACGTGCTGCGGTGGCCTGGGGTGGGGTGCGCCTGCGTGGTGAAGTCTGGGAGGAGCAAAGTGGGGGAAGCCGTTCTTCCGCTCTCCTCTTCCTACAGTTGGACTTGGGGGGGGCGGGGAGGGCCTGCTACAGGGATGTAGGGGATGCCGAGGAGGGTTTGGGAGCATAGAGGGGGCTGCAGGTCTCTCTTTGTACATGAGGGCAGTCTCCTGCAGGGAAGGGGTAGAGGAGGCTGTGAGTCTCCCCTCACCTCGCAGCACCCACTGATCGGCTCGGCCCTCCTAGGCATCAGAGCGCTGGGATGAGCTCTGCCCACAGCCTGATGCCACATTGTGGCCTGTGCCGCCCCAGCCCTTGTTTAGGCCTGAGGTCCACACAATGGCTGCAGAGTCCCCAGCATCACCCTTGGCTCCAGGTGGAGGAGAGGGGGGCCTTTGTCTGGGTGTCAGGGGCCTTGGTGCCCCTTTCAGGTCCCACAGAGAGTCCCTGTGACACATGGCTATACTGGCCAGATTGGTCTTGTCCCTGGGAACGCTGAGGTGCTGGTGGGACTGCAAGTGTTGGGAGAAGACCAGGAGTTAGTTGAGGTGCTCATGGTTGGAGCTGGTTGGGCCCAGCCTCCACCAGGCCTCTTGTAGAGAGGCTGCCTGGTTCTGTTTTGCTCTAGGTACAGTTCTGTCAGGGTCTTGGAACTTGTTCTGGTCTGGTCCTGGGTCCCCAGGTCTTGCTTCATGTCCAGGTCCTGCTCTAGGTCCAGGTCTTTTTCTAGTCCTGGGTCCTGGTTCAGGATCCTGGTTCAGGTTCTGCTCTGGGCCCAGGTCGTACTCTGGGTCCAGATTCTGTTCTGGGTCCTGGTCTTGGTTCCTAGTTCTGGGTCCTGTTCTGGTCCTGGCTCCTGCTCCCTGGGCCTGTGCTTGGCTGTGAGCAGTCCTGCACTTTCTCCTGGGGGTCTGTGTCTGTGGGGTGGGGGCTGAGGGTCGCTGCTGTGCACCTTCAGCAAACGTAGCCAGGGCTCTGTGCTGGGTGGTTGTTGGGGGAGGAGAAGCAGGCCCCTGCTTGTTCTTGGGCTCACAGCCCGGAGGGCCTCCAGGTGCCCAAGTCATCTCAGTGGAGGGGGTCCTGGCAGGTTCCAGAAAGCTCCCGGGGGAAGGGGCCAGTCAAGGGTTGTTAGGCACATGAGGTGCCCTGTGGAGAGATGTCCCCACCGCCCCCAGCTCGATGGCCACTTGGCTGCTCAAGGAGAGCCCATGTGGAACCCAGGAGCTTGGGGGTTGTTCTCCGTGGGGGGTGGGGTGCTGGTGCTGCTGCAGCTCTGTGCCCACTTCCCGTGGGGGAGAAGTTGCTGAGAGCTGTCGGCCTTGGGAGGAAGGCCAAGGGCCCTCCCCATAACCCCTCTTCCTTCCTTGGCCTGCCTGCCTGCAGGCTCTGGGTGGGGTCGTGGGTGCCCTTTAGGGTGGGGCCCAGATGGTGGTCTGGGGCCCTACATGAGGAGGAGGCCTTTGGGGCCTGCACCCAGGGCAGGCAGGGGGTGTGTGCATGTGCGCGCCAGCTTGGGGCTAAGTCTCGGGGGTGACGTGTGTGTGTGTGTGTGTGTGTGTGTGTGTAGGTGGTGGTGCCAGCAGACACCTGTTCCCCTCTTGCTCCTCCATCCTGCTCAGGCAGAGCTGACTGCTGTGTCTATGGTGGTGGTGTGGGAGGGCAGGCCGGAAGCTGAGGTCTGTGAGTCACAGCCCGTGGCCCCTCACCTCCTACCTCCAGCCCAGCAACCTGCTTTGGGGCAGCCCTGGTCCTGTGTGCCTGTTTCCCAAGGACACAGTGTCTCTCCCAGTGCCAGCCATTCCCTTTGCCCTTAGGAAAGCCTAGGGGATGAGGCTGAGGGCTGCGGGGTCTGCTCATGGTGCTGGGGTCCAGGCCTGTCATGCCTGTGCTCATTCAGTACGGGCTGGAGGTGGGTGCTGCATCCCCAGCCCTTCGGAGGCTGTGCATGGGGGCTCGCCAGGATTCAGGCTGCGAGTCCTTCTCCAGAGAATCCCCTCTGCTGGTTGGAGCTGGAGTAAGGACACCATGTCCACCCTCTTTGGCCATTTGTCCTGGCTCCATAGAGGGTCAGCAGGACAGATCTCTAGCCACCCCTGTATGTAGATGCTCCTGGAGTAGTCCCCTGCCCAAGGTGGCGGGGCAGCCCCAAAGGGACTGGGGCCATGGGTTCCAGCAGTAGAGGGCTCTTGGAAAGCCATCAGAGTTAGTGGACAGGGGTAAATGATGGGGCTTGGTCTGGGTGGCCAGGTAGGGTCTCCTCAAAATGCCTCCTGGCCACCCAGCTTCCTGTGAGCTGCTGCCACTGTGGACACAAGTGTTTGGCTTTGGCTCTTAGGCAACTGCTGGGTACCCTTTCAGGAGGTGATCTGAGACTGGGTCCTGTCCTTCCTGCCCCCCTTAGTCCTAGTCTTCCAGGGTCTATCAAGGGGCTCTAAGGGCAGCATGGTGACCGTGTGGAGAGTGGGCTTGTGTGGCCTCTCCCTGGCACAGTGGGCTGAGGCATGGACAGTCTGCTTGTGACTAGTGTTGAGCTTGGGTACGGCGGGGGCTGTGTGTGTTCTGAGTGTATGAACAAGATGTGTTTGCTCCCTGCCACCTGTCCCATGTGGTTGCAGGCCATAGTGCCAGGGGCTGTTGGGTGGCTCGCCTGGAGCCAGAATGCCTAGAATGGGCAGGTAGGTGGGCTGTCCTGCAGCAGCTCCAGGTGGGTCTGGCTAGACTGAGCATAGGATGTGGTGTTGGGCTGGGCTAGAAGGTGTTCTGGAGGCCTGGCCTGGCATGTTCCCAGCCTAGGCTCTCTGGGGTACATGCCTGCAGCAGGGCCTCTAATTTGCCCCTGGGCTGCCCAGTGGCTTTGTCACCCAGGACTACTTTCAGGGAAATGATGGATCAGAGAGCTGAGGCTGGCCTGGGATCAGATGAGGGCCCAGGTGTGTTGGGGCATCTGCCTGGGGTCACAAGGCAGCCTTCTCAGACTCTGCAGCCTCTCTTGACAGAGTGAGGCTGTGGGAGGGTTAGGGTACCCTGATCCCTGCTTTGTCTCCAGGGAGCGGGGAAGGCCAGGGCCAGATCCTGCAACGCTTTCCAGACAGGGATTGGGAGGACAACCCATTTCCCCAGGGCATTGAGCTGGTGAGTGGGGGGTGGTGGCGGGGTGCTCCTGGGGGCGGGGGACGGGGAAGTGGTGCTCCCCGGGGTGGGGAGCAGGTAGGGATATGTAGTATGGGCAGGCAGGCGCTGATATTAGAGAGACAGGGTGCCCCTACCCCTCGCTGGGCTAGGCCTGGCCTGGTGGGGGAGGCGGAGGTGACATGAAGGTGAGGCATGGCCTGGCTGGCGAGGTGCCTGGTGCCCTCCCTGTCGTGCACAGCACCCCGTGTCCATGGTGGGCATCAGCCCTGAGAGTGAGGTGTTGCCCAAGCCGAGGTGGAACCCAGGCGTCCTGGCTCCCGTTCAGCCCTGGTGGTGCATACGTGGGGCAGAGGGCTGACCAGGGCCCTCCCCGCAGTTCTGCCAGCCCAGCGGATGGCAGCTGTGTGCCACGCGCAACCCCCCGACCTTCTTTGTTGCCGTCCTCACTGACATCAACTCCGAGAGGCATTACTGTGCCTGCCTGACTTTCTGGGAGCCCGTGGAGCAGGTCAGACTGGCCACTGTGCCACCCCTTCTGCCAGCCCCCCTCCTGGCTGAGTGGGTTGTGGGGGTCCTGTCTGCCAGATCCGAGCCAACAGGGCTTCTGCGCTTAGGATACCTTGTGTACTGAGGATGCTGCAGGGAGTGAGGAGATGGCAGAGGAGGAGGGGGGTCCCGTGCGACTGTCGCCCACAGCCTCTGGCCAGCTGTTTGCTCCAAAGACCCTGGTGCTGGTGTCCAGGCTGGACCATGCGGAGGTGTTCAGGGTGAGATGGCAGCTGAGTGGGGTGGGGTGGGGTGTCCTGTGGCTGTGCTTCTAACCCCCCACCTGTGGTCCTTGCAGAACAGCCTGGGGCTTATCTACACGGTGCACGTGGAGGGCCTGAGCGTGTCCCTGGAGAGCGTCATTGGCAACTTGCTGACCTGCACCATCCCCCTCACCGGGGGCTCGCAGGTGCGTCCCCTCCTGGCATAGTCCGCGCCCTCAGTCATGGGCACGGGCCCTTCCTAGGCCCAGAATCCGGCCTCCCTGGGCCTGGTGCCCCTTGGCTCTGTCCTTCCGCTCCTGGGTGTGTGTCTGTTTGGCCTGTGCTCTGGACGTGAGTGTCCGTCTGTCCTGTCTGCCTCTCTCGTGGCTGGCTGTGTGTCTAACTGTGTCTCTCTGTCTGTCTGTCCTGTGCAGCCGGACTCTGTTGAGGAAGGAGCGGTAGGGATTGTTTTGTTGTTCCACCCCCCCCCATGGCCCCAGGCCCCAGCTGCCCACCTCAGGGTCTGCCAGGCCCCGGCTGTGAAGCCTGAGGCTCACATGGTCTGGTCGGGGCTTCTGGGCCCTGACCCTCTTCTCTTCTGCAGAGAACCATCTCTCTGGGTGCAGGTGACCGGCAGGTCATCCAGACCCCCCTCACTGACTCGCTGCCTGTCAGCTGCTGTAGCGTGGCCCTGCTCTTCCGCCAGCTTGGTGAGCCTTGACCCCGTAGCCCTTGCTCCTCTCAGTGGGCACTGGCCCGGTCCACGCTGGGGGCGCCTCCCTGTGCAGGCGGGAGCCCAGGGCACCTCTTCCAGCCCATCCTTCTCTTCAGGCATCACCAATGTGCTGTCCTTGTTCTGTGCTGCACTCACTGAGCACAAGATCCTCTTCCTGTCCCGGAGCTACCAGCGGCTTGCAGACGCCTGCCGGGGCCTTCTGGCACTTCTCTTCCCTCTCCGATACAGGTTCCAGGCCTGCCCAACACTCCTCCCCACTCCGCCCCCAACCGCCCCCTCCACTCCTCCTAGTGGCACTCCTCCCCACCCGCCCCAGCCCTCTGCCCTGATTCCCCCAGTCACCCAGCCCTGTGCCTCCTCTTTTATCCACCTCCTACTGCCCTGGCCCACCCTGCCCTGGATTCCCTCCTGCCTCTACCCTCAGCCCTCCACTGCCCCAGATCCACTGCACTGCTGCCCATGCCCCCTGCCCTGTCCTAGTCTCTCATTTGCTGGCACCGGCCCCTGCCCCACCCTGAGGTGGCTCAAGCGCTGAGTCCTGCCTGTTGCAGCTTCACCTACGTGCCCATCCTGCCGGCACAGCTCCTGGAGGTGCTCAGCACACCCACACCCTTCATCATCGGTGTGAACTCGGCCTTCCAGGCGGAGACCCAGGAGCTGGTGAGGACCCCACTGTGTGGCGGCAGAGACTGCCGTGTCCCTGCTGGGAGAAGTGTGAATCAGGGCCTCACTGACCTCCCCCCCCGCTGCCTTCCTGCTGACGGCCCCCATGACGACCGCTACTGACAACCCCACTGATGGCCCTCCTGACGGCCCTGCCATCGGGCACTGTGGCACCCTCATCTCCCAATCCTGCCCACAGCTAGATGTCATCATTGCTGATCTCGATGGGGGAACAGTGACTGTCCCTGAGTGTGTGCACGTCCCACCACTGCCAGAGCCATTGCAGAGTCAGACACACAGTATTCTGAGCATGGTGAGGACGGGCATGCAGGCGTGGGGGTCCCTGGGGGCCCAGCACGGGTGGGCGGTGGTCCCCTGAGCCCTGCTCCCCTGCTTCCCCAGGTCCTGGATCCAGAGCTGGAGCTGGCTGACCTTGCCTTCCCCCCACCCGTGACACCCCTTTCCTCTCTGAAGATGCAGGTGGGCGTGCTGTTCTTGGGCGGGCCCTAGACTCCGGGCTCTGCTCAGTGCCCCACCCCTTCCAGCCTGCTCACCTGTAGCAGGGCCATTGGGGGGTGGGCAGGACCAGAGCACAGGGGCCTTGATGCCACATGGATGGGTGGTCTGGGCTTGACACTGGGCCATGGGGAACCTTGGGGGGCAGAGGGTCCTGGGCAGGGGCCCTCACCAGCATCCCCCCAGGACAAGGAGCTGCGGGCGGTCTTCCTTCGGCTCTTCGCCCAGCTTCTGCAGGGTTACCGCTGGTGCCTGCACATTGTTCGTATCCACCCCGAGCCCGTCATCCGCTTCCACAAGGTGGGCGCCCAGCCTGGTGCCTGGTGGGGTGGCAGGAGGTGACTCCTGGTTTCTGGACCCTGAGAGCTGAGCTCCTTGTATGCCCCCAGGCAGCCTTCCTGGGCCAGCGGGGGCTGGTGGAGGATGACTTCCTGATGAAGGTGCTGGAGGGCATGGCCTTTGCTGGCTTTGTGTCAGAGCGGGGTGTCCCCTACCGTGCCACGGACCTATTTGATGAGGTGCGCCCCTAACCCTGACCCCTCAACTGGAGGGGAGCCCCCATCCTGGGCAACTACCTGACCCTACCTCCCTTACTGAAGGGGAGCCTCCGCCCTGCCCCGGCCAGCCTGACCAACCTTGCCCCTCTAACTAGAGGAGAGACCCTGCTCCTGTAACTGGAGGGGAGCCCCTCTGCCTGACTGACCCCACCCCCCTAACTGGAGGGCAGCCTCCCCATCCCTGCCAGCCTGACTGACCCCACCCCTCCTCAGCTGGTGGCCCACGAGGTGGCACGAATGCGGGCAGACGAGAGCCACCCCCAGCGAGTACTGCGACACATAAAGGAGCTGGCAGAACAGCTGTATAAGAACGTAAGGGCGGGGCTGGGGCTGAGGGGCAGGGCCCAGGGGCAGGGCGCTGGGCCCACTTCCTCCCTGCTGTCCTCCAGGAGAACCCGTACCCCGCGGTGACCATGCACAAGGTACAGAGGCCTGCGGAGGCCAGTCATCTCCGACGAGCGCCACGGCCCTTCCCCCGGCTGGATGAGGGCACCGTGCAGTGGATTGTGGACCAGGCCAGTGCCAGGATGCAGGGTGCCCCACCAGCTGTGCGGGTGGAGAGGAGGAGCAACGTGCCCTCAGGGCCCCTCATGAGTGAGTGGGGTCAGGTCTGCGCCCCTGGGCTGCCAGCATGGCTGTGGGGTGCTGCTTCTCAGTACCTTGCTTCCACAGCTGCCATCCTAGAGCGGAACAGCGGGCCCCACACCAACAGTGCCCGCCGGCTGGAGGTGGTCCGCAACTGCATCTCCTGCGTGTTTGAGGGGAAGATGCTGGAGGCGAAGAAGGTAGGCATGGCATGGGTTGGGGGGCGGTCACACGGGCACATAGATGCCCGCCTTGGCTGGCCCTGTCAATCTTATGGGGCAGGCTCAGGAAGTGGGTCTGACCTGGAGGGAGGCCAGTAGGGTGGCCAGCTGGGAAATGGTGGGTGATCAGGCCCTGAGCTCTGTGGTGTCAGGATTCTGTGTCTTTCCTAGGTAAAGCTATGACTCCACCCTGTGTCTGGGGTCTTATTTTCTTTTGTGGATAGTGGGGTGGACGTACTGCTCTGTGTCATGTGCTGTTCCCCAGACACTTGACTGCGGGGGCATGGAGTGTGGGGAGGGATGCATGGGAGGGGAGCACCTGGGCGGTGAGCACAGGACACGCAGGGCTCTGCCGTGGGTCTCTGGGTGCTGTGTAGATTAGCGTGTTGTGAGCGATGCTGCTGTGGGCATCTCGGGGGGGTCTTGTCCTTGCAGATTGCATGTAGTGGTTCCTGCCGTGGACTTGCTGGGTTTGCTGCAAGCCTCAGTGTTTGTGGTTGGGGGCTGGGTCCAGGCTGCCTGACCTGCCCAGTGTTTGGTCTCTGTGCCCCCTGGTGCTCGCTGTCCCAGCCAGTTTCAGGCTTACAACTCCACATGCCCTGGCCCCATGGACCCCTGTGACCTGGTCATGTCCGCAGCTGCTGCCAGCTGTGCTGAGGGCTCTGAAGGGCCGTGCTGCGCGCCGCTGCCTCACACAGGAGCTGCATCTGCATGTGGAGCAGAACCGGGCTGTCCTTGACCACCAGCAGTTTGACTTTGTCGTCCGTATGATGAACTGCTGCCTGCAGGTGAGCTGTTGTCAGAGGCTCTGGAGGGGTGGAAGTCTGGGGGTGGCAGGGGATTCTTCCGCCAGGGACAGTGACAGGAGGAGGCCTGGGTTTGTGGGAAGTGGTGATGTGGGAGAGTGTTGCTGGAGGTGGCTCTGGACCCTTTTGTTCTCAAGGCAACTGTAGCAACAGATGCAGGTAGGTCAGTCTGTGGGTACTGGTGACTGGGGGCCTGTGTGGTAGGGCTCACACTAGGGCCTGCCTCTGCCTAGGACTGTACCTCCATGGATGAGCATGGGGTCGCGGCCGCCCTGCTGCCTCTAGTCACCGCCTTCTGTCGGGTGAGTGTTAGTGGCCTTCCCTGCCCCACTGTGTCCCTGCCTAGCTGGCCACAACCCACTGACCCCCATCCTGGCCCCACAGAAGCTGAGCCCGGGAGTGACACAGTTTGCGTACAGCTGTGTGCAGGAGCACGTGGTGTGGAGCACGCCGCAGTTTTGGGAGGCCATGTTTTACGGGGATGTGCAGACCCACATCCGGGCTCTCTACCTGGAGCCTGCGGAGGACCGTGCCCTGTCCCAGGTGGGCGGGGTGGGGCCGGTGGGGTGGCGCTGCCGCAACTCACAACGGGCACAGTGCAGCGGCTCATGGCAGGTGCTGTGTGTAGGAGGTGGGGGAGGCACCTGCACGGGAGGACGAGCCCTCAGCCCTGGATGTAGCCTCGGAGCAGCGGCGTCTGTGGCCCACGCTGAGTCGGGAAAAGCAGCAGGAGCTGGTGCAGAAGGAGGAGAGCACTGTGTTCAGCCAGGCCATCCACTATGCCAACCGCATGAGCTACCTGCTTCTGCCCCTGGACAGCAGTAAGAGCCGACTGCTGCGGGAGCGTGCGGGCCTGGGCGACCTGGAGAGTGCCAGCAACAGCCTGCTCACCAACAGGTGGGCCCCGTCTCCACTCAGTCCACAGGTTCAGCCTGGGGGGGGTCTCAGAGGCCACAAACAGCCTGCTCGATCAACAGGTGGGCCTGCGCCCCCACCTGGCCCAGGGGTCCAGCCTGGGGGTCTCAGTGGCAGGGAGTCGAGCCTGGGAGTGTCATTGTAGGGCGGATGTCTGAGGGTTCTGGTCTCATGGAGGGGTTCTAGCCTCTAGGGGTATAGGATCTTGGCCTGGAATGGGGGTCCCTGGCATGGGTGGGTCTCAGTGTGTGTGGGGTCTCTGCCTCTGGGGGGTGATAGGCTCCTGGCCTGGGGGTGTGGGTCCGGGCCTCTGTTCACACACTCTTCCGGCTAGCGTGGCGGGCAGCATGGCGGGCAGCTACGACACAGAAAGCGGCTTTGAGGATGCTGAGACCTCAGATGTGGCTGGGGCTGTGGTCCGCTTCATCAACCGCTTTGTGGACAAGGTCTGCACGGAGAGTGGGGTTACCAGCGACCACCTCAAGGGGCTGCATGTCATGGTGCCAGGTATGGGGGGTCTGGGATGTGACTCCCTCCCAACAGGGCAGGTGTGGGTGGCCCCAGGCATGAGACTTGCTCTCCCCCAGACATTGTTCAGATGCACATCGAGACTCTGGAGGCTGTGCACCGAGAGAGCAAGAGGCTGCCGCCCATCCAGAAGGTGGGGGCCGTAGACGCAGGGGCTGGGCCGTGGGCACGAGGGTCCAGGCAGGGCGTGCTAGGGGAATCTGGTTGGTGGGCAACTGTAGGGCTGCGCTGGGAGCACTGGGAGTCCAGGTTGCAGGTGTGGGGGATCTAGGCTGTGACTGCTGGGGATCTGGCCTGAGAGTGCTGGGGGGGGTGTCCAGGCCAAGAGTGCTGGGGGTCAGAGTCTCAGGTGTTGGGGTCCTGCCACGTCCTGAGTCCACCCTCTGCCCTGCAGCCCAAGCTGTTGCGGCCACGCCTGCTGCCTGGTGAAGAATGTGTACTGGAGGGGCTCCGTGTCTATCTGCTGCCTGATGGGCGTGAAGCTGGTGCGGGGGGCAGTGTGGGGGGCCCTGCGTTGCTACCAGCTGAAGGTGCTGTCTTCCTCACCACATATCGGGTCATCTTCACGGGGATGCCCACCGACCCCCTGGGTGAGTCTCCACCCCTGCTCCCCAGGGCTGCAGGGCCTGCACGGGATTTGGGCCCCCTCCCCGAGCCCCCCAGCCCCCCTGATTGCCAGTTGTTCTAAGTGGGGGAGCAGGTGGTGGCACGTTCGTTCCCGGTGGCTGCGCTCACCAAGGAGAAGCGGATCAGTGTCCAGAGCCACGTGGACCAGTTCCTACAGGACGGGTTGCAGCTTCGCTCCTGCACATTCCAGGTGGGGACCATTGGGGGAGGGGGAGGGGCCTGAGGGTGTAGGAGGCCTATGAGGGCTTGGGGTGTCAGTGTCCAGAGCCACGTGGACCAGTTCTTAAAAGACGGGCTGCGGCTGCACTCGTGTACATTCTAGGTGGGGGCTGTTGGGGAGGGGGAAGGGGAGGGGCTTAAGGGTACAGGGGGAGCATGGGGGCTTGGGGTCTGCAGGGGGACCACAGGAGTGTGTAAGGGGATTGCTGCAGGGAGGGGGAAAGGTTTCCTAGTCAGCTCCCTCCATATCTGTGTGAAGTCTTGTTGGAGTCAGGTTCCCCGTGATTGGCATGGGTTTCTGCCTTGAAGGTGAACCCTCTGTTCACTGTGCTGCCAGCCACCTGGTACTTGTTGCATGGTGGGCTGGTGTGAGCCATACATCCATCCCTCCTATGGGTGGTCAGTGCACTCAAGGTCTGATTGGATGATGGGAAAGGTGTGGACCTCAGCCCCCCACCTGCCCAGGACCTCTAGGGGGCCCTAGCCCAGTTCTCTGAGACTCCAGAGTGGCCACTGTCCCCTTGGGGCACACACACACCCCTTTCCCATTCTGTGCCCCCCAGTCGGGGTCCGGGGGCCTCCTCACAGCTCCCCTGCTTGTCACCTCGTCTGGCATAGCTGCTGAAGATGGCGTTCGATGAGGAGGTGGGGTCTGACAGCGCTGAAGTCTTTCGCAAGCAGCTGCACAAGCTACGCTATCCCCCGGACATCAGGGGCACCTTTGCCTTCACCGGGGGCTCTGCCCATGCACCTGGCCGGCCGACCCGGGCCACCAAGGACAAGGGCCCTTCCCTCAGGTATGAGGGCCAGGGCCAGGGCCAGGCCGCACAGGCCCAGGAGTACCTGTTACACGCCGGCTGCCCTCAGGACTTGGTGCACAAGCATGTGTCTGTCTAGCCCACTGTGCTGGTGTGGTTCTCAACAGAACCCTGTCTCGGAACCTGGTGAAGAATGCCAAGAAGACTATGGGGAGGCAGTACGTCACCAGGAAGAAGTATAACCCTCCCAGCTGGGAGCACCGGGGCCAGCCCCCACCTGAGGACCAGGAGGATGAGATCTCAGGTGAGGCGAGGGGTAGGGGCCAGGTTGGCCCTGTGTGCTGATCCTGTTGGAGAACCGGATGGTCTCTGGTTACCGATGCTGTGTGGGCTGGGCACTCCCTGTGTGCTTTTCCCATGGGGGGCCAGGTTGTTCCTGGGTGCTAACTCCATAGGGCAACCAGGTGGTCCCTGGGTGCTGACCCCACATGGGCTGGGTGAGACGTGGAGACTGATCCCGCGTTGGGGGACCAAGTGGTCCCTGGTGCTGAGCCCATATTGGCTGGGTGGTACCTGTTGCTGACACTGTGGAGGCCAGGTAGTCCTGGGTGCTGACCCCATGGTGGGACCAGGTGGTCCTGGGTGTTGACCTCGCATAGGCTGGGTGATTCCCTATGCCAGTCTCACGTGGGCCGGGTGGTCTTGGGTACCAGCCAACCCCGTTGGGGGACCAGGTGGTGCCGGTGCTGTCCACACATGGTCTGGGTGGTTTGGGATGCTAACCCTGTTGGGGGATCAGGATCCCAGGTGCTGACCCCATGTATGTTCTTCCCAGTGTCAGATGAGCCGGAGCCCAGCACCCTGACCCCCACGTCTGCCCTGAAGCCGTCGGACCGCATGACCATGAGCAGCCTGGCGGAGCGGGCATGCTGCCGTGACTACCAGCGTCTGGGCCTAGGCACGCTCAGCAGCAGCCTGAGCCGGGCCAAGTCCGAGCCCTTCCGCGTCTCCCCCGTCAACCGCATGTATGCCATCTGCCGCAGGTGAGCCGCCGTGCAGGCGGGCCGTGGGGGTAGGTCCCCCGATGCCTCCAGCCTGGGAGGCGGGACATGCCTCCTGATGTGCCTCGTCCTCCCAGCTACCCGGGGCTCCTGATCGTGCCCCAGAGCGTGCAGGACAACGCCCTGCAGCGTGTGTCTCGCTGCTACCGTCAGAACCGCTTCCCTGTCGTGTGCTGGCGCAGCGGGCGTTCCCGGGCCGTGCTGCTGCGCTCTGGAGGCCTGCACGGCAAGGGTGTCGTTGGGCTCTTCAAGGCCCAGAACACACCATCGCCAGGTGTGCCCCCACTGCCATTTCTCCCCTCCCTCTCTCTCTCCTGCTCCTCCCCCTTCTGCTCCTTTCCCCTTCCCTCTTCCTCCTTGGTCTCCCCTCCCCTTCCTCCCCTGATGGACACCTACCCAGCACTCTTCCTGTGCAGGCCAGTCTCAGGCGGATTCAAGCAGCTTGGAGCAGGAGAAGTACCTCCAGGCCGTGGTCAGCTGCATGCCCCCCCGCTATGCTGATGCATCAGGACGCAACACGCTCAGCGGCTTTTCCTCTGCCCACCTGGGCGGCCATGGTGAGGGCTCCTTGGGGTGGGGCAGGGCAGGAGGGGCGGCAGTGGCTTTGGCCAGGACACTAGGGAGAGGGGCAGGAAGCCCGCCTGTGTCGGGTAAGTGCGCTGAATGCTACCTGGCCCCAATCCCCTCACTCAGCCAAGCTTCTGGGCAGGCCACTGTGTGCTGGATGACATCTCAGCTCACTCCGTCCTAGGCACATGGTGCAGCCTGTAGCAGCTGTCTCAGTCACTCCCTCAGTCCCCCTCAGCCCTGCCCCTGCCCATCTGTGCCCTGTCCCCTCCCCGGCAGCCTGGGGTCACCTAAGGCGGATGAGCTGTGGCTTTCCCGCTGTTCCCTCCGCCTCCCTCACCTTCAGGTTACTCTTGGCCCTCCTCACACTGGCCCTTGACTGGAAGGCCCTTGACCGTCTCACCCTCCAGTCCCGGTCACACAGACCTTCCCAGGAATCTTGGCCCTTAGTGCGTTTTGTAGATTATGCAGACCACAGCCAGGAGGCAGCAGCTTCCTGGGGGCACATGCAGAGCCTCCCCGTTGCCTGCCTTCTGCTACTGCCCCTGGGCCAGCAAGGGTCCCCTCAACTCTCCCCTACCTACCTGGCTCGGCCCTGGCTGCAACGTGGCTCCTTGTGTAGGTGTCTCTGTGCCCTGAGGGTCCTGCCCTGGGCCTCTGTCCATGCAGCAGTGCTGAAGCCAGTCCTGTGCAGGGCAGGCCAGGCCCCAGGCATGGCACTGGCACTTTGCAGACACCCAGAGTGGTGTTTTTGGGCACCTGCTGGGTTGGGCAGCACAGCGTGTGGGTGTGGGGTCAGGTCCACAGAGTGACTGCTGGGATTCTGTAGGGAAGGGGAGGGCAGTGCAGGGGACGACTCTGCCTGTGGCCCTGTTCTCCTCCTCCCCTCACCCCCTCCTCCGTCATGCTCACTGAAGGCAGGCTCTTCTCCAAGTCCACCCTGTCTTCCTCCTCCCCCTAGGTCCCACCACCCTGTTCCCTGTCCCTTGTGTCTCCCTCTTAAGTCTCCTCTTGAGCCTGACCACAGGCAGAGGCCCTCCAGGTCTGGGGTATGGACTGACTCTCCTGCCATGCCCAGCACGTAGACCTTGAGTTAGTCTCCCAGATACAGGGATCCTCTGAGCCAGGGCCTCATGCCCACGTGGCCCTTGGTGCTTGTGTTTGGACACATTGTGTCCCCACTCTGGGTGGCCCACCCCAGCAAGCTGCTGCCTCATCTGTGGCACATGGTGACATCCCCATCTCAGAAGAGCTTCTGAGGAAGGAGTGGTTCACACATAGCCTGTTGTCTTGGTACAGAGCCTTCTGTAATGCTGGTCACTTTAAGTCATTCCCAGTGAGGTGCCTGACCGCATGGTAGAGGTGATGTCAGGTCACCGCCAGTGAGGTGCACTGACCACGTGGTGGAGGTCAGCTCAAGTCACCGCCTGTGCGATGCCTGACCCCATGATAGAGATCAGCTAAGGTCACCACCTGTGAGGTGTCCCGCCATGGGGTAGAGGTCAGCTCAGGTCACTGCCAGTGAATCTGGCCCCATGGTGGGGGTCACCTCAGGTCACTGCCCTGACTCTGTGGTGGAGGTCAGCTCAGGTCATTCCCAGTGACGTACTCTCACCTCCATGATATAGGTTGCCTGAGGTCACTTTTCAGGTACCCCGTGGGGGGATCACCATTGCCTCAAGGTCACTTCTGATGAGGTACCCTCCGGCCTGTAGCAGGGGTCCCCTCAGGGATGCTTCCTTGTGCTGCGCCTTGAGCCCTGCGGTAGAGGTCAGTAGACGTCCCTGGGGGCTCCATGACCTTTGTAGACCCCTTGACCTGCCTCAGAGGCTGTCTCCTCTTGAGGTGCCCCAGTCATTTAACTGGCTGTCTCCAGGCCCAGTTGCATCACCTGAGTTCCCAGCATGGTTAGTGAATGGGTATCAGGATTTAAGTCTAGGGCCCATTCCATTACAAATGTCCTCGTCCACGAGGGGACAACAGTGCTTGCCACTGTGTCGTTAGTGTTGGGTGGCCTCGTGCTTGGCTTGTGGTAACAGGCAGTGGGCAATGGGATACCCCCATCCCACTCTGCTCTTGATTGGCCTCAAACCTCCGTGGAGGTGAGTGAGCCAGGACCCTCTGAGCGGGCAGAGCACCTGTGCCCATGGCCAAGCCTTTCTTGGACCTTGTGGGCTTCTAGAGGCTGTGGGCTTCTGCTGGGCGCCTTCCAGGCAAGGCTGAGCACGACCTATACCAGGGGAGAGGAGGCCGGGGGTGGAGAAGGGAGGAGAGGCTAGAGTGAGTGTGGTTGAGCTGCAGGATACTGGCTCAGGAGATAGGCCCGCCCTCCTCACCTGCTAGCACAATGCCTCTTCTCACTCCTGCCTACCACTTTGGCAGGGTGGTGTGTGGTGGGAGCCAGCCCTGTGCCCCTTAGCCTGCAAGGCCCTTTAGCTGGGCTCCTAGGTGGGCTGAGCATTCTCTCTGCTTGCCCCCAGCGCCCAGTCCCCGAGCCAGGGTGACCACACTGTCCAACCCCATGGCAGCCTCGGTCTTCAGATGGACCGCGCCCCGAGGTACCGTACCGGGCCACGCAGCCCAGGCCTGTTACAGGCACTAACCGCTCCTCGCGGCGTGGCACCTCGTCCTCACGCCGGCACTAACTGCCCCCTGGTGACTGGCCGGTGTCACCATTCCCCCCCCGGCGGCCTGACCTGCCCACTCCCACTGGCACTAACAGTCTCACGGCCCCAAACTAATGCAGCAGTGACCTCATGTCAGTCTCTGCACCTTTTCTCCCCACCTACCCACCCTGGGCGCTCAGCCAGCCTCGGGGAAGTGTGCTCACACCCTGCCTGCGCTTACCCGTGTCTGGTCCCACAGGGAAATGGAGCAGCATCCGGGCCAGCGGGCGCAGTGGTGGCAGTGGAGGGGTCGGCACGGACGTGGGCTCCCGGTTAGCAGGGAGAGATGCGCTGGGCCCTCCCCAGCCCAATGGGGCACCCCCTGACCCGGGCTTCCTACGGCCCCAGCGTGCTGCCCTTTATATCATCGGGGACAAAGCACAACTGAAGGTGATAGGCGGGATGGGGCAGGTGTGAGAGGAGGGCCCTGGGTGCCGGATGGGGATGGGCCTGGAAGGGAGGGCTGTGGGGCTCGGGAGCGAGGGGGGCGTGCGGCAGGTGTGGGCAGAGTGCGGGTGACGGGTCCTACCTCGTCCCCTGGTCTCCCCCAGGGCGCGCGGCAGGTGTGGGCAGAGTGCGGGTGACGGGTCCTACCTCGTCCCCTGGTCTCCCCCAGGGCGCGCGGCAGGTGTGGGCAGATGTGGGTGGCGGGTCCTATCGTCCCCTGGTCTCCCCCAGGGCGTGCGGCAGGTGTGGGCAGAGTGTGGGTGGCGGGTCCTATGGTCCCCTGGTCTCCCCCAGGGCGTGCGGCAGGACCCTCTGCAGCAGTGGGAGCTGGTGCCCGTCGAGGTCTTTGAGGCAAGGCAGGTGAAGGCTAGCTTCAAGAAGCTGCTCAAGGCCTGTGTCCCGGGCTGTGTCGCTGCCGAGCCGGGCCCGGCCTCCTATCTGCGCTCGCTGGAGGACTCAGAGTGGCTGAGCCAGGTCTCCTGTGGCCCTTGGAGTGCAGGGGGAGGCAGGAGGGAGGAGGGACAGCAAGGGTCCCAGGTGGGTGGGAGAGTGAGGGTCTTGGTCTGCTTCTTTGACGACTTGGGCCGCAGAATGGGAGGAGCGGCACTGCCCTGACGACCTGTCTGCTTGTGGTGGGGTTGGCTGTGTGGGTCTGTGGAGCTGCAAGGCATAGGCTCGTGGACCTGGGCTGGCATCAGCTTTGGGCCATCAGGCCTCTGCCCTTGTGCATGCTTTGGGGGTGGGACAGGGTGTTAGAGTGCTTGCTGGAGGGTGGCCCTCAGGACAGAGGCTGGCTCAGCTGGTCCTTTGTGGGCCCAGAGCAGCCATACCCGGTGCGCTGTCAACCCTGGTAGGCGAAGTGCGTGGTGCCTGGCTATGGGAGGGTCAGAAGGCTCCCGGGAACTGTACTGTTGGACCATGCAGGCTGGGCTGTTCACAGGCAGGCGGGGCAGCCAGCAGGGACCCGAGCACGGTGCTGCCTGCTCGAGGGGCTATGGGGGCTTCTGGGCAGGGATGCCCTGGGCTGGGGCTGAGGAATCCTCTTAGGCGCTGAGATGGTGGTCAGGGTGGGGCCCTCTCGGGGCCAGGGTGATCACGGTGCTGTCTCGCAGATCCATAAGCTGCTGCGGGTGTCAGTGCTGGTGGTGGAGCTGCTAGACTCGGGCTCCTCGGTCCTGGTGAGCCTGGAAGACGGCTGGGACATCACCACCCAGGTGAGTGTGGGCTGGGCTCCGTGGGGAGTTGAGGGGATTTGGGGCACCAGGACCACCGTTCTCATGGGCAGGGCCGGCAGGTGGTGTCACTGGTACAGCTGCTCTCGGACCCCTTCTACCGCACCCTGGAGGGCTTCCGGCTGCTGGTTGAGAAGGAGTGGTTGTCCTTTGGCCATCGCTTCAGCCACCGCGGGGCTCACACCCTGGCTGGGCAGAGCAGCGGCTTCACGCCTATCTTCCTTCAGTTCCTGGACTGTGTCCACCAGGTGAAGAGGCTGCGGGGTGGCTGCGGGGTGGCCGTGGGGGCCGCCCCCCCCAGCCTCTCACTGTGGGCTGGTGCTGCGGCAGGTTCACCTGCAGTTCCCCATGGAGTTTGAGTTCAGCCAGTTCTACCTCAAGTTCCTCGGCTACCACCA